CTGGTTCGCAGCGCGAGCGTGTCTGTGGCGTTCATCCCGCGTCGTTTGGTTGACGGTCCTGCGGCCCAGCGCGGGCCCCCAGGGGCTGAAAGCAGCAGCAACAACAACAAAAAGCGTCCGTCGTGATTAAAGGCCTCCTAGGTGGGGACGGAGTAGATGGGGTCGGAGGATCGCGCCGCATCGCCGATACATCGGCCGCTGCATCGGCGACGCATCGGTGATGCACTGGCGATGCAGCGTCGACGTCGGCGATGCATCGGCGACGTCGACGTGAAGAAAATCGGGCTGCACATCGGCGTTCCATCGGCGATGCATCGGCGATGCGGCGCGATCCTCCGACCCCCTCTACTCGGACCCCATCTAGGAGGCCCAATTAGACCAGAGGCTGAAACAGCGGCAACAACAACAACAGCAACAGCAACAGCAACTTCAATAGCAACAGCAACAACAACAGCAACAACACCAACACCAACACCAACAACAGCAACCGCAATAGTAACAACAACAACAACAACAATAACAACAACAACAACAACAACAACGGCAACAACAGCAGCAACAACAGCAACAATAACAACAACAACAACAACAACAACAACAACAACAACAACAACAACAACAACAATAACAACAACAACAACAACAACAACAGCAGCAACAGCAACAACAACAACAACAACAACAACGTGAAAACAACAACAACAACAACAACAACAACAACAACAAAACGACAACAACAACAACAACAACAACCACATCAACCACAGCAACAGCAACAATAATGAAACAACAACAAAAACAACAATAACAACAACAACAACGACGACAACAACAACAACAACAACCTCAACAACAACAACAACAAGCAACAAGCAACAGCAGACAACAACAACAACAACAACAACAACAATCATTTTACCCGAACGCTCAGTGTTCTCACCAGTGCCAGGGTTTTCATGCGACGCCAGCCAATACCCCCACTTTGTGGGGGGGCAGTGCAAGCTATACCAAATATCCACACGACTCTTCGCCACCACCCACACCCAGCTTCCCGCCCTATGACGTTCGGACACTTCACTGCGTGGCCTGCGGACGACCGTGGCTACTACACTGGCGTGGAGTACACACCCACAGAAGTTGTTAGGACAGCGCGCGCGGGTAGAAATTTTGAAAAGTCGTGCAGGTGTTTTTCGAGGACCTACGGTGCGATTCGTGTGATTTTATGATGCGCGGTGCTAAAATTCTTAAGAAGCCCAATGGTTTTTGGAGATTTCGGCGTGCGCGCGCGAAGAAAAAAACGAATGTGTCCCGCATGGTATTATTTGACAGGGATGATGGCCCTGGCAGGTGCGCAACCGTTGTCGCAGAAGTTCGAAAAAGTTGCTCGCAAAAGCCCGTTTGACAGAAATGTTTAAAAAGTGTTGGTTTTCCTACGAATCCGCAAGAGCGCGCGGGATGAGATTTTGACAATTTTTTGTTGAAAAACCATTGGTTTTTGATGTTTTTATGTTAAAATCGCTGCGAACACTAAGGTTTTGGAAGGATTTCGTCTTGCGCGCGCGAATGTCCACTTTACCTTATTTTTTGCAAGGGATTCTTGAAATTTGATTATATTAGAACAAGAAATGTCATTTTATAGTGTTTTTTGCAAGGGAAAACGGATTACAACAAAACAACCGGATCTGGATCACATCGTTTTACCTGAGGCTTCCTCACGAAAATGATGAAAACGTGGCTGCGGCCTAGGCGCGGCGGGGGGGGCGTGCACCAGGGGGCCCAACAATAATTATTCTTTAGAAGTAATAATATTCAACGCTCTGTGCTGATTCACGACGCGAGCGCGTCTGGGTCTTTGGACCGCCGACCTGCTCAGCAGGCCGCCGAGCACGGCGCTCACCGCGCGCCCCCGCGCGCGCGGGATCTGCCGCACGAGCCACTCCCAGAGCTGCTCGCTCTCCTTGGGGGGCGAAGACGGACACTCGGGTGAACGTCTTCTTGTTCGGCGTTTCGGCATTGGGCGGAGGGAGGGAAGGAAGGGGGAGGGGGGGGGATAAGGTGCTACTGTGGCCCGTTGGTTGTTAGTGCGGCCCGGTTGTTGTTAGTATGGCCAGGGTTCCTCCGGAGGGTATTAATCAGCGCGGGCCACAGTAACTCCCATCCGGCCGCGCGACGGGCCACACTAACACCCAACGGGCCACCCTAGCACCCAGCGGGCCACACTAACAACCGGTCGCGGGAGGGGGGTGGGGACGTTTTTGGCGTTCTGGCTACGCACGTCGCGCGACGGTTGAGGAGGAGGGGGAGGAGGAGGCGGGAGGAGGAGGAGGAGAAGGAGGAGGAGGAGGGAGGAGGAGGAGGAGGAAGGAGGAGGAGGAGGAGGCGGAGGAGAGGAGGGGGGGGGGAGGAGGCGGAGGAGGAGGAGGAGGTAGGGGCGGAGGAGGAGGAGGAGTAGGGGGAGGAGGAGGAGGGGGAGGAGGCGGGGAGGAGGGATGGGAGGAGGGAGGGGGAGGAGAGAGAGGAGGGGGAGGAGGAGGAGAGAAAAGCCCGCCACCCACTGAGGCTCCCGTCCGGGAGCACCCCCGGCGGGGCCTCGGCCGTCAAAGTAGGGGGCCACGTGCGAACCCCCATGCGAGATGCTGAAGAAATCATGGGTTAAGAAATTAATAGTCTCAGAATTTGAATAAAAACCCAAAACTTCAATCAAAATCTTGGGATTTACATTGAAACGTTAAGAATAGTCGAGACTCTGGCCGAAACTTTAAGTTTTCTTAAGCATCGCATAAGGTGTACCCCTACCCCCCACGATTTCTGAGGGGGAGGGTGGGGTTCACTTCGTTCGGGAGCTCTCGAGCGAAGGGAACCCCACCCTCCCCCTCTGAAGTCGTGGGGGGTAGGGGTAGGGTTCGCATGTGGCCCCCTACATAGGGGGGGCAGGAGAGGGGCGCCGCCGAGGGGAGGGAGGACGGGCGGCGGGCTTCGCTCCCCGTGGGCAGCACAAAAAAGCCTCCAGGGCGGCGGCCGACACCGCGCGGGCACGGGCGAGGTCGCGACATCGCGCGAGACGGGCCCGAGGGGGAGGGAGGGCCCGTCCCCCATACAGGGGGATGTGCGACGAAAAATAAAAAAAAAAATCCCAAAAGTAATCAAAAAATACTCCAAAGATGGTCTGGGGAGCATGTTTTGAATCTTTGTCTACCTTTTTGGAATATTTGTGGGGTACTTGTATTGCCCGACATAACCCGAGGGGGAGAGAGGGGAGGGGGTCTGGCTCTGGACCTCTGCTCAGGGCGACTGCTTGCAGCAGTGCGTCCCGTGGGGGAGGCCCCACCTGCCTGAAGCGGGCGCCACAAACAGCCAAGAACTACTCCATGGGGGGGGAGGCGAGGGCCCGCGCCGCAATGAACAAGAAAACGATCACCAGAAGGACACGCAAACAGACACACACACACACACACACACACTAGTCTCGAGTCGGGCCTGTCCCCCTATGTACAGGCCGATTTGGGACGAAGAATTTTAAAAAAGTCAGAAAAATACCCAACAAAAAAATCAAAAGTGGTCCAGAAATCGTCCCCAGGCCATGTGTTTTAATTACTTTTGAGTCTTCCTCCTGCAGGGGGACAGGCCCGACCTCACACTCGTACTGCGCGTCTCTGCTGGAGCGGCGCCCTGGGGCCCGAGCAGGCAGCACAAGAGCAACCTCCGGAGCAAGCCGCTGCCCGGGCGGCGTGGCCGGCAGGCGCCCGCCACCGAGGGCGCGCGCTGCAAGGGGCCCAAGGACACACCAATACATAGACACACAACTCACGAGGTGCCCCTCTTTGTTTCCATCTGTTCTGGGCTCCTGTCTTCCCCCCTCCACGTCCCATTGTTTCCCATATTCTCCCAGGAATCGAAGATCAGTGGTGTCTGTGTGTCTTTGTCCCGCCTGAGTGCTGCAGGCGTTCCGTTAAGTCGGGCCTGTCCCCCCACAGGGGGATTTTCGACGAAAAACAAAAAATACCCCAAAAATACCCCCCCACTAAAAAATCCAAACATCGTCTGGGGTCTGGGGGCCACTTTTTGAACGATCTTGTGACCTCTTTGGGGAATTGTTGGTGCATTTTGGGTGCATGTTTGGGGCATCTTTGGGGTATGTTTGGGGTATTTTTGAAGTATTTGTTGGTGCATGTTTGGACTATTTTTGGTATATCTTGGGTCGAAAATCCCCCTGTGAGGGGACAGGCCCGACAGAAGCTCTCCGGCGAGCCCGCGCGTCGCCCCTGAAAGGGGGGGAGCGGGACGCGCCCCCGCAGGGAGGCCGCACACGCTCGAGCGGAGCCGACGCCGCTTCGGGCGCCAGGGAGCCACGCGCACCCCTCGCCCCTGCCGCTCCGTCGTTGCCCCCCCCCCCCCCCCCGCGGCCCTGCTCGCCTCGCGCTCCTCCTGTGCACTCCCCCCCCCTGTGCTCCTGCGCCTTCTCCTCGTCCGCCTCCTCCTCCTCCTCCTCCTCCTCCTCCTCCTCCTCCGCCTCCTCCTCCTCCTCCTCCTCCTCCTCCTCCTCGGCTTCCGCCCCGTGCTCCGCGCCCTCCCCCCCCTCGACCTCGGGGCCGGCGGCAGCGGCCGTAAGGCCTTCGCAGTACGCTTGAGCGGAGCCGACTCCTCTTCGGACGCCAGAGAATGGATACGGAAAGAATGGGTACGATGCCCAAGAACTAATGCTGTCCAAAACCGACAGCGGCCGCTGTTGGGCAGGCGGCCTCGTGCCTCAAATGCACAACGTCCGCCGCAACGCCGACAGCCAGTCCTACTCACAATGAACTGGAACTGCTGTCGGTCTTTGTACCCGTTATTTCCGTACCCACCTCGATCGTACCCATCCTCCCGCGGGGCGCCGAGCTCCCGCTGCAAACATCCCACGAAAAAGCTGCAGCGTCAAAATCCAGGACACGCTCGTCAAGCAGCGTCGAAGGGCAGCGCCGAGCCTGTCCCTCTACAGGGGGAACATTCAAAACTAGTCCGGGGACGATTGTTGGACCACTTTAGGGGTATTTTGGGGTATTGTTTTAACTATCTTGAATTTTTCGCCGGAAATCCCCCTGTAGGGGGACAGGCCCGACTTCACGGTATGGCAGCGGTATGTTGGATGCTCGTTCTGGGGACCTTCCTGAAGCCACTCGATCCACTCGTGCGTCGAAGCTGCGTCGAACGTCAGTCGAGTTGGGTCGACCCTGAGTCGAACCTGAGTCGAACCTGAGTCGAACTTGAGTCGAACCTGAGTCGAACTTGAGTCGAACTGGGGTCGAACAGATCCGTTAGGTGGGCTCCAGGAAGGTCCCCGAAACGAGCATCGAAGGTATGGGTTCCTCTTCCTCCTCAGAGGTGCGCCGGCTCCTCCCGCGTGGCGCCGAGCACGTGCCGCAGCAGCGCGCAGTCCGCCGCCTCCACGCGCCCGCGCCCCGCCGTCCAGGCCACGACCTTCAGCAGGCGCGCCGCCTGGCACAGCCGGCGGTCGGAGACGACCCCCGGCGGGTCCAGGCCGGCCAGCAGCCGCCGCGCCCCAGCGAGGATCTCCACGGCCTCCACTGAAGGCGCCCCGGGACACACAAATAAATACACACAGACAAAAAGATGCCCCATATTTTCCCATATTTTCTGGGTTTCTGTCTTCCCCCCCACTTCCCATATTTTCCCATATTTTCCTGGGAATCGACGATTCATTGTGTCTGTGTGTTTTTTCCTCTCCTGATCCACGCAGGCCCGCAAGACGAAGCCAGGACGAGGAGAGACTCGGGTGAGGATGGATCGAGAATCTCTGAGCCCCGGCGGACCCGGAGGGTGTCTCGAGAGCCGCGGCCCTCTCAGAGACGCTCTGGAAGGGACTCCTCCTCGGCCTGAAGCCCCGTCCGACCGGCTCAGACACGATCGCGTGAAAAGATCA